AAACTGTATATACTCGTAAATGAAAAGGTTAAACAGAAGGAGAATACACTAAAGGAAACTGTAAACCGGGTAATACACAATACTTCCAAGGAATCTCAGATACTGGGTAGCTATGAACACATCTCTTCTTATACCCAACGACTGTGATATAAATGCGATAGGAATGATGTATGAATGGACAGGTAAATAACATTTTGTTATGGTTTATAAATAAACCATAAACAGAGGGAAATGTAGAATATTGCATATTCTATATGTTCCTATTCAAATACATATTAAGGCGTGGCTGTGTAATGGGTTAAACAGAACAGATGGTGTTTGCTATTCTGTACCATGAGGTCTCTGAAATTTGCTGTATAAGAAATTTGAGGCGGTCTTTATATAGGGAACTTCCTTATATGGCAGGGTCTAAACTAAACGTTATGACGTAATTTGGGCTATATAGAGCCAAGGACAAAGGACTACAGTCTCTTCCTGCTACGATCCGTTTTGCTCTTCTCTCTGATGTCTTGAGTTGCTGATACAAAGACGACTCTCTGTAACGTCGTTAAGAAATACCATCTGTTAAGTATATTATTGTTTGCTGTTGAATGTAGAATAAATACTTATTTTTTATAAAGAACGTCAGATTGCGTATTAGTTCTTTTCAATAATATAGACATATATTATTGTGGCGAGCCTGACCCAAAAGAAGAAATATAAATAAATAGATTTATATCTATATATACATAAAAGACTTATTCAACTAAAGAAAAACACAGCCAGTTATTACAGTTACAGACCAGAGCACCGAGAGAGGAGAATCCCAAATTGAACTCATTCATCCTAGACTCTTGGTAATGTATAAAGGTTTCTCTTTACTCTATATTAAATAAATGGGACTATTGAATGCCCTATGTGTCTATATTGTGAACTGATCCCTATTGATAGAACAGTTAGTCGGAACATTGATTCCTTCTTTAGACATAGATCAGTTCAATATATACATATTAAGGCTATCAGAAGCCTTATATAAACATACTGTAGTTAAACTGATGGTATTTACTTGGCAGGGTTGGTTGATATTTAACTAATCAAATGACAATTGTATCATTAATGCAAGGGGTGTCATATGATTAATTCTGTATACTGGTATTGCTGTGAAGTTTGTAATAGCTTTTATTGTCCTTTGCTGATAAGATTATAGATGAGACAAAGTGTAATGTTGACTCCTAAGCTGTCAAGTAAACTAATTGACTTGTTGACAAACTCGTATATAATATAGCAAATTGATTATAATTGTATTGTTTTGTTGCTTTGCATTTTATAGTGTGTATTATTAAATTTATATATATTTTAAGCAAAGTCTGTTTATTGACCATCTGCCGTTCATAAGTGTTTATATCACCGCTTAAATCAAAGAATTACAGGGTCCCTGAAGGCTCTATGTGTGTGTGAATAT